ATTTCCACTGCTCATTTCCATAGCTGTCCTTTATTTTGTTCACCAACCTCTGTAATAAGTTACTACTTGAGAAAATGGGGCACTCATGGAAAGATTACCAGGCTACCTGCTGTCAGTTTTTTTATAACAAAATGACATTCTTTTCTTTTGGTATTTTGAACTTAGAAGTTCTCAACACTTAATTTAGCTGAACATGCCAATGGGTAATCTTTTACTCTTTCCTACCTCATGCTTGGTCCCTAGGTTTCTCTTGCCTTATGTCTTCAGTCAAGGTATATATTTCTTTGTATTTTTGTCCTGTGTTGTGAGATAATTCATCCAGTTGATCTTCTCATAGCAATAATTCAGTTCTCAGCAGTGAAAACTCTTTTATGTATTTCTATATTTCTAATTTTTCTATTCAGAAGTCCTTACAGATTTTAGTTTTGGCACATCAGTTTTGCCCCTCATTTCTATCCTAAAATTTTGTTTGTTGTCATCATTGTTACTGATGTTAAAACATTGTTTAATGTTTTCCACTAGATCCACTGTAGTCAGACTCAACTGTATGATTTGTTGAGCTAGGCTCTGTCCCTCAGATTCCTAGTGACCACAGTACCTTAGCAGTTCAGACTTCAGGCAAATGAAACAAGAAGGCAATGAACAATAAAAGATGGTTTTTCTACTTCTGTTCACTGAACCTAAGTAGTCTCTGAATGTGGAAATGTCCAGCCCCACCAGCTGGCAGTGGTTTTTGAAATTACATAGAATCAAGTCAACTATTGTGATCGGAGAAGAAGGATCCACTCCTGATGATTTAGAAATCAGAAGGTAAATAAATGGTGAAATGTGAAAGCTCACTAATTATATGACAACATCAATTATGTAAGATGCATGACAGCGAAACATCAAGAAAATGTGTACTGTTGAATTACATACACATGTGGATAAGAGAAATATGCCATTTAAGGAAGAATCACATAATATGAATCCTTATTTCTGAAGGGAAATTTTCAAGGGACTCAATTAGCTAAGTGTTCCAGAAGATGCAACTTTATCTGCCCAGGTAAATGCTGGCTTTGCCATTCATGAGCTGACGCATGAATGGACATGTAGAGTCATGATGGGGTCATGTACAAGCAATGAGTGCAGAAGATATTGTGCAAAAGAATAATAATAATGATGATGAAATCAAGATATGGGAAATGGGGCCAGAGGGAAAGAGAGGATGAGAGGGAATTAAAAGGAGATGCTTTTGTTGACAGCAGGATGGATGCTTGATAGATTTATAGTGTGGGATTCTAGTCACTTAAGAAATTATACAGAATTAAATTAGGAGACCCTGATCTAGATCTAGCCCTTGAATTCAAGACTTTTGCTTTTTACACTGTTTATTTCCACAACATATTCTCCTAAGATGGCTTGAATATATTTCTACTTCTTTCAAGCAATCTCAAACTCAAATTAATGTTATGGTGATTTGCTCAATTTCACCACATTTTTCTTTCCCACAATTTTTAGACTAAAAATAGTCAACTTATCTTTTTAAAATATTAATTGGATATCTAATCTCAGACTTAATGTAAGTTCTAGTTTTCTTTATATTTTTCATATAAACATGGTCAGATACTAATTTTTCTTCCTTCCAGTAAATGCACCAAAATTTACCCAAATGTCTGGCCCAAAAACTCAGTTGCCATTCTTGACTTCTGTTTTATAACATACCACATCTATTTCCCTGTAGAATAGACAACATAAGTTTTTGCTAATATTTAGTTTGCTGTGTGCTGAACATATGCAAACACAACATTTTCTTGACGCCTGGAATTTAGTTCCTATATGCCTTTCTGTGGACAGTGAAATGTGAGGGAAATCTATTCCATTCCTTCATGAAAGTACCACTAGAAAAAAATTGTTTTCCTGTCCTATGATAGATGATATTTCATAGGGTAGACTATGAATCTGCTTGGGTTTCTGACTAAACCACGGCCCTGTACTGACCCAAGATATACCAATACTGTGAGCAACACATGCACTTTTGCTAGTTTATAGCACTGAGATTTGGAAGGTTTTTGTAGCTCCAGGATTGGCTAGTCTATCTTAATTGAAAAGTCCCTCAAAACCCGTTAGCTCTATTTCTGTCTCTCAGACCTCTGGCTTGTTACCTCCTTTTCTACCATCACTGTGTTCAGAAGCTGTGTCCGATCTTTTGGCAGATTTACTGTAGAAGCCTCTTAATCAGTCTTCCCTTTCCTACTCTGATATTTCTAAAGGCCATTTTCCAAAGAGTAGCTAAACTCATTTCTCAAAGGTGAAATAGAGCATGTTACTCCCTTTCTAAGACCCTACAAAAACTTTGCATTAGCCTTAGAGTAAAATGTAATGTTTTTCCATGAACCACAAGACCCTATACTGCAATCCGATCTCTGCTTCTATCTCCAAATTTGCCTCCTGCCCTTCTTTTATCTCTCTGCTCCAATCACAGTGGCTATCTTACCATTACTTGTAAAAGATAAGCTCTCCTTCCTTCAGGGTTTTCCTCTTCTGGCTCTCACTGTAGAATGTTCTACCTCAGGACCTCTAGGTGGCTTGTCTCACTCTCATCCCTATGCAAATCTTTCTCCAAAGATGGAGTCCACAGAGCAGTGTCTACATTCTCCAGAACCACATCTCCCAATAACTCATATGCAGTCATCTCTTATTTATTCATTACCTAAATTCATGCCTTTATTTCTAGACAATGAATATCATAAGGCAGGCATTGTTTGCTTTAAATGCTCTGTCCCTGTTATACAAAAAAGTGACTCATGTTAGTGAGATTCAATAAATATTTATCGAGTGCATTAATGAATAGATAGCTGAAGCAATCAGAATGTCAAAATACTGCAGTGAGAAAACAAATCAGAAGCAATATTCTTTCATAAGTCTTTTACTTTATAGAGCAAGAAATAAATCAAAATAATGCTAAAAAATCAATTTGTATAGTTTTATATCTATGATCTACTACTTATAATGCGCTTATTCCAGAAAACTTGATGCGTTCCATTTAACTCATTCAAACTAGTCAGTGCTTGCTAAAATAGTAGTATTTTTAAAGGGAGTTGGTAATAAATAAATAAATAAATAAATAAATGGAATCAATTGGTACAGGACATGTTTAAAGTTGAAACACCTAACCTAGGTTTCCCAGTTCAAATTATCTAAATTTTGTACAATGGACCAAAGAAATATACAAGAAAAGAATATGAAAGCAAAAAAATAAAAATAAAAAAGGATTCAAAGAAAAGATAGACAGGTGAACTATGTAGGAAAACAGGAGGCTAAGAAATTTCTCTGGAGAATCATTTTCTGAGTAGCCTAGGTAGAGATAATGCATCATTAGAAGTTATCAGTGAGCTATCAATGCAATATCCTCTTTGTCATCCTCTCTGCAATAAGCACTGTCTATGCACACTTCCGTCAGCTGTCAGGATGACACAGGTGAACTTGCACCAGTGGTCACATCCCTGGATTACCCCTCAGTAGAAATGATGGACATGCACTAATATACTTCTGCATTTATCAACTCTCACTCATGAAACATGCTATCCTTTGCAAAGCAGATGGCCCAGGCGATGAGTATTTGCTATAACAAAGAGATATATTAAAAATAATTGGATTTCAAAGGGACTAAAATTCTTTCCCTGGCCTTGATGGCATCCCACTGAGGAATGTCTAATGGAGTCCCGAGAACTGGATCAAACCCTTGTCCCTGTGGTTTTCCATTCTTGAGTATGTCATTTGGTGCCGGATGTGGATGGAATAATAATGCCTATCCTAAATCTTTCATAAAGTTTCTGTAACATAAAATAACTCATGGTAAAGGCATGCTTTATATGTTAGCTACTTTAGTTATTTGTTTTTATTTTGTAATTTAAAGTATTCTTTAAACTATACTTGTTTTATTTATACATTTCAGAGTAAGAGAGAAAAAAGAACAAGCACAAAAATGTACATTTGATCATGCAGTCCTTACTTTCACTTGAGATTGACAATGTACATATCTGTTTAAGAAATGTTAAAAGTGCAGTAATTAGAAAATGGCACTATTATTCTCTTTAAACCCACAAAAGCACCAAGAGCGTGCTCTCATTCTCTCTCTCTTTCTCTCACTCTCTCTCTTTAGGAATCCCCATGACTTATTTCCATAAATAACTACTTCCAAATCATCCATCTCCAACCCAAAGAAAAAGCCAAATTCACAACCCATCATAAAGTGAAACAAATTATTCGTAGTGCTTTTATGTTGCTATGCAAGGGGGAAAATAAATCAAAATCAGGGGAAAAATGCACAAGATTGGTTGCTGCTATAATATATAAATCCACAAACCTCTGACACCTAAAGCTCTATGGCCTCTAGTTATTTGCTGCTTTCTTTACTTGAATAACTTTCCTGTTCATCATTGAGTAAGTATATCTGAAAGATCTTACAAAATAGCAGATTAAGAAGCATGCTCAATATTCTGGTGGAACCATTTAGTTTCACGAAAAATTCCTGGTAATAATGATTGAGCTATCAATTATCCAACTCTACTCCAGTCACACTCAGGAGTCACTTTAGGGAAGTGATTAGTTATAAATAAATACAAGATACCAAAATGAACACTGTCCATCAGGAATCCACTACCAATAAAAACAACTCTTAGGAAAATAGCACAGGAAGAGCCATCATTCCTAATGAAATCCATCCTACTCTTAGCTTTCACATGTATATCCCATATTATCCAACAATATGAAAATGAAATTATAGCTAAATAAATATGATTATTTTGCTTGTCCCTACCATCAAACCAATCAATATAGTTACATCTGTCAAATGGTTACAGGAATATTGTTCATCACCCATGTAACCCAATTAAGAATGGTCTGTTAACTTTGACTCAATGAATAAGTATAGTTGATAGTTATCAAAATTATCCACTTTTTTTAAACAGAGGATCACATTATACAGTCTAGAATGCTGATTGAGCTGTCTCTCTTACCTCCTGGTGATTCTTGGCCAGCCATTCCTTTATGGTGCCGAGGGCAATGACTGCAGCAGGCTCATTAGGAAAGCCTAAGTTAAGAGCAGAAGGAAAAAAAAATCAACAAAGGATGAAGGCGATAATATTGAGGCCATAGTCTTAAGTGAAATAAATAGGACACACATGCATAAATATCGAGTGGTATCTCTACTGTGAAAAACTATAAGTGTAAATAAGGTTCAAATTGTATATTTGATAATGTGAAATAGGAAGAAAAGGGCTAAAGGGGTAAGGGAAGTGGGAAGGGTAGGGGAAAGGAAGGAAGGGAAAAGAATAAAATATGAGTAAATGAAAAAAATGGAAACAAAGTCTTTGTAAATAGGGAAGGGAGGAAGGGGTGAAGGGAGGGCAGGGGAATGTGGAAAAAATGTGAACCAAGTTCTGTCATGTAAAGGTACAAGATCCCAATGATGAATGTAACTGTACTATATACCTAAAAAAGTACCAATAAACTCAACGAAATTTTTAAAAAAGGATGAAGTCAGTCATGATACATAAATGGAGATTTTTCACTTGCACAGTTTTCACTTCAACCAGTAAGTCCTGAGCAAGGCAGGCCTCAGTGAGCTGTGCAGGAAAGTGAAGCCTGTGATTCTATACACAAGGCACTAAGAGGGGTAGTCCTACAGCAATTTAGAATTAGAAATAAAAGATTTATCTGTTATTTAATAATATTAATTAAAATATATTTGCACATGTGTAACAGTTTACAAAGTACTTTCATATATTTTCCTCATAAGTGATGCTCAAATTAAGGTGTAGTACCCTCCTTATTATCCTCTTTTTTTTTTGTTTCAGAGATCGAACTTGGGACCTTGCACTTGTGAGGCAGGTGGCAGAACCGCTGAGCTAAATCCCTGGTGCCTTATCACCCTCTTTTGAAAGCCAAGGAAATGTGGGTTGGAGAAGATGAGTGGTTGGTGCACAGTCAACAGTATTTCAGCTATGAACTGTCATGAGGCAAGGAACACGATACAAGGGATGGTAGAAAAATACAGCGAGTGTGCACATGTTTAAAAATTTATTATAGTAAAAGACACACTGCCATTAATTTCCTTCAAAATACTGTTCCTCACTTTGCAATCACTTATCCCATTGTTCTTGCCATTTTCTGAAGCAGTCTTAGAGCCCTCTTTTGTATCTTTAGTTGTGCTATTATGGCTACTTTGGTGTCCTGAATTGATTTGAAATATTTCTTTCATGGTCATTTTGACTTTGGAGATGAGCCAGACATTGGAGAGTGACAGATCTGGTGAATAAGGTGAACGAGGACACTGTAGTGTTTTTACAAACCTGCCTTTCTGTTGGATAGCACTCAATTGCAGCATTCATTGCACTTTGATCATAATATAAAGGCACTCATGAAAGAGAATTTCCAGAACTGCTTCAGAAAGTGGCAAGAATGTGCACCAAAGTGAAATAAATAGGACACACATGTGTAAATATTGAACAGTTCTCTGGACGGAAAGTGTATATGAGGATCAAAACATAGGAAATCTGAAATTGGAAGAAAATGTCCAAAGGGGAAATGGGAGGGTAGGAGAAAGGAAAGAAGGGAAAGAAAAAAATGTGAGAAAAGGGAAAAAAATGGAAACAAAGTTTTTGTAAATAGGGAGGTGTGGAGGGGTTGACAGAAGGGCAGGGGAATGGGAAAAATAATAAGAACCAAGATATATCATTTACAGTGATGAATATCATCATATTGTATGCCTAAAATGTACCGATAAACTTAATGATTTTTTTAAAAAAAAGTGGCAAAAATTATGGCATAAGTAAATTTAAAGAAAGCAGGAAAGTTTTGTTGGGGAGTAATGCCAATCTGTGTTTTACCATAATAATTTTTTAAACATTCATCACATAGTTTGATCATTCCTTGTATAGTGACACCCCTTTAGGGAAGTTACACCCTTGTACACTAAATAGCAATATCACAGCAAGCTATTAACTGTATTCAAAGAAGGCGAGTCCTGCTCTATTTAGGGATATTGAAGGTGATATTTGGAATAAAACCACATGAACTAAACTGATAGTGTAAAATGGGTTTGATTTTACAAGGGCAGAAAGAATGACAGACTTAAGCTTCCTTTCAGTGTGTATGAGCACACATATTCAGAATTTCTAAAACACACCTGGATGTCCTTTTATCTTCTATAAGCTGAACACACTCCTAGACCTAAATAATTATTAGACATTCTGTTAATAGAGATAGAAATAAATGAGAGAATAATCCTATAAATTTTTATATATATGTAGTGCAGAAAGAAGAAGAGATGGGAGTGACTATCTCATTGAAACCACCATCTTGAAACTCATTGCTGTCTTCTTAATCACCAAATCCTACCACCATTCAATCAGGCTTCAAATTTGGTATTAGATACACTTGACTGGATTTTCATGCTTTAGCATTTCTTCCCTCTGATTTCTCTCTTCTTTAAGTTTACGTTTATTATTTTAAATGTACAATTCAGTGATTCTTCATATGTTTATAAAGTTGTTCAAACATCATCACTAATTCTGCAATATTTCTCATCATCTTATAAAGAAATTCTGTACCTACTAACACTCACATCTCAACCTCCCATTCCACTGTCCCTGGAAACTATTGTTACTTTCAGTCTCTGGATTTTCAGGTTCTCCTCCTGAAGTCTTCAGCACTACCTTCTTCCATTCTTCTACTTATTTGACCAATGCTCCTCTTGATACAGAAGAAATATAACTCTTGGCCTATTAGATGTGCTGACTTTGGGCTGACTGACTTTGTGGTCCCAGAACATCAAGAAATGAAGTCGTGAACCAAAGGAAGCAGTTAAGAGTTTTATTGGAAATAAAGAAAGAAGAATAGCTCCTGGATTTTCAGAATAGGCCCTGAATGGTGGCCATGGAGGTCCTTTGTCAGAAATAATTTATACAGCAAATTCACAATGTGGGTACAATGTAGGTCAAACTACAATCAACCTACAGGGTCACAAGTATAGCTGCTTACCCAGTATTGATTCAGTAGGGAAATGAGTCACACAGCAAAGATATATGGAAAGAGCAAAGACATTTTTGGGAAGGACTGGATCCAAATGCTTTGTCTCCCTCCTAGGTGACTGATGCCTATCTGGACTCAATGGACCAGGTTGTGCTCATCATTATAATATAATTTCAGGTTAATATTTATTCCTTAGGGAGGCATGCAGGCCTGGCCATTGTATCTTTATCTCAAGGCCTGGCCATCAGATGCACCTCCAGTCACAATTCTGATGTCTTTATTTTTATGTTGACTTCCTTGAGAACCCAGTCCCTCTGTGACTGTATATTAATTTTTATCTAATTTAGATGCCTATAATACTATATTTCTTTCTCTAGGTGCACCCAACAAACATATGCTGTTACCAAAATTCTAACCACAGCCTTCTTCTTACTCTACGTTGTCTACACTAGCCAGTTCCATTATCATTTACTGGTATATTTATGAGGACATCTTCCAGAGCAGACAGTCCTCACATATTGTTATATAGATGAAAAAGACAGAGAATTGTTGACATAAATATCTAGGATTTAAAGACTCGGTTTTGGAGGACAAATACATAAAATATTATTTATATAGTATTTATATAGTATTTATAATACTGATGGTTTGAGATATCAGTAAGCCTTCAGAGAAAATCTGTGAGAGAAAAGGAGCAAGAGTACTCTCCCATTTCCAAGAATACATACCGCTTTTAAAAATAGATTTCTACAGGCTTTGCTAGAGAGTGCTTTAAGAAAGGACAAAATAAAGCAGGGCCAATTTTTACCTATTTTAATTTATAAACCAGAGAGAACCACTATGATATGGAAAAATGTATACAAGTTCTTGAGCCTTTGTACACTCACTCTAAATGTTTGTGATTGTGGACTTCTTCGAATTGCTTAGTAGAGCTCACATTCTTTAAATGAATACTTCAAAAGGGCTAAATGTGTAGGGAAAGTGGGAAGGGTAGGGGAAAGGTAATAAGGGAAAAAAACATGTATGAGAAAATGAAAAAATGGAAATAAAGTGTTTGTAAATGGGGAAGGAAGGAGGGCGTGAAGGGAGGGCAGGGACAAAGGGAAAAAATGAGAACCAAGACCTCTCATGTAAAGGTACAAGAGCCCAATGACGAATTTAATTGTACTGTATACCTAAAATGTACCAATAAACTCAATGAGAGAGAAAAAATAAATGAATACTTCAAAATATAAAGCCTTTAAAATTAGCTTTAAAACCCTGACAATAAAACAATACTTAATCGATTAAACAAATTATTATTGATTCCTCCCAAAAGAGTGCCTATAGTGACACTTTTAGTGAGTCCCTGACCTCTAAAATCCCAAAGTCTGACCAAGGAGGTACATTAACAAAAATGGCAGCCACAAGGCAGCATGTAAGTGTTTCAGGGTGGCTGGAGACAAGGATAGAGAAGTAAGAAAGAAAGGCGGGGCCCGCCGCAAAATGGCTGAAAGCTAGAGAAGGAGCTCCAAAGTGTGGCACTGAGGAGACAGTCCTCAAATGTAAAGAGTGAACAGCAAGGACATGATGGAAATAATGAGGAGAGTGAACGCAGGAAGAAAGCATGATGCATGCAAGTTGGCTTCAAGGAGGCGAGGATGGGAACTTGCTGTGAGGAAGGTAGCCACAGGAGGCTTTTGCAATCCACTCCTTTCATGCATTTAATACTTACATTCATAGTCATCCTCCCCTTGATATGCTCCAGAATAAAATGTAAGGTGCATCCTTCCTCAAAACAACCCCACTGGCTTGCTGCTTCCTGCTTATGGCTATACCTCTGTCCTACTCATTAATGTATTTGACCGTTTTTCCTGCTGGTGAGTGAGTCCTAAACTTTACATTGTCTCTCTGAAATATGTATACCTTCCTTTGACCTAATTTCATTCAAGGTCTGATAGGCTCTCACCTGGATGACTGTAGTTCACTCTTAAATGCCTTCCTTTGGTCTTCCCTGCCTTCTCTGATCTCTCTAGAATTCTCAACACGCATCTTCCTAAAGCATAGCTATCATAACAT